TTTGAAGGCGTCGGGGGGCCCACATGGTGGGATTTGCCTCGGGCCTTGGACCCTCCCCCACATATAGATGGCCCTGGCAAGGTATAAGAGTCATCATTTTGACTGGTCAGGAAAGTATAATGGAGCTTGGCAGGGTCACGTCGCTGAAAGGGATGATGATGAGGATGACGACCGGTGGACGAGACTAAGGACGGAGTGGCAGGCTAACGAGAGGAAGGCTCTGAAATAATATCAACACAGGCGCCAGATTTAGATGTTCGCTGTACATATCGCTGCATCACGGCACCGTGAGATGGCATGACAGCTTTGGGGGAGGCCTTCATTAGGCAGAGGATTTACCATAGCTGATGACGATGCTGCTGATGGCGATGATAATAAGGCGAACATCGGTGAAGTGCTTGGCATCAGGTATGGGTGGTATTTTAAAACAGTCGAGGGAAGGAATTAATACGTTATACAACACGAATGAAGTTCCCCACGCAAAATAAAACTATAAGACACCAGGGCTCATCTCGAACTTAAGCCTGCGTACGTGTCTGACCTTCACCTGAAAATACCTAAATTCGAAAGGGGGGGGGGGTCATTGACCGAGAAGTGGGCGGGGAAGGGGTCATGGGAAGCTCCAACAGCCATCAAAAAAAACATCAGCTCGCCGTGTCGGGAAATCGATGGGGTTCTTCTCACGATGGTGCCCGCCGTACGTGACCTTGCGACTAGGCACAAGGTCGAGGCGACTCAGAGGATTTTGTATAAAAGGATGGAGCCCATCTCACTGGCACTTGAGTTTTCCCCAGGAAGGTGGTACACGAGTTCTTCCCGCAGCCATGAAGTTCCTTCTTCTGCTCGCCCTGTTGCCCTTCATCGATGGTGAGTGTTCGAGAAGCCACGTGGCGTCGTGGGTGGCTGACTGGGGCTGTGGGAGGCTGTAGGGGGCTGTGGGAGGCTGTAGGGGGCTGACCCCCCCACCTCCCGCCGCCCCCCGCTTTGCTGAAAGGTGTCATTCAGACCCCGCCCGCAACTTCTAAATTATTTTAAGCCAGGGCTTAATTTTAATGTGTATACCTCTATATCTACGACTGGACATCTGCAAAAAAATTGCTTTATAGCTCATCGGATTCCTCCAGTATAAATATTCTGAAATGATTCTGATATGCACACGTGTGTGTGTGTGCGTGTCCACGTGTTTGTGTACTCACGTGCCCACGTGTTTGTGTACTCACGTGCACACGTGTGTGTGTACTCACGTGCACACGTGTTTGTGTACTCACGTGCCCACGTGTTTGTGTACTCACGTGCCCACGTGTGTGTGTACTCACGTGCCCACGTGTGTGTGTACTCACGTGCACACGTGTTTGTACACGTGGGTATAAACTCGCGTGTCGATTTGTGGGGATTCCCCCTCAAATGAGAGCACCTGTTGCTCCGTTGTGTAAACATCACCGACTTGGGGAGAGACGGCCTTGCGTGGTTCTGGCCACCCACCCCGTCGTGTGCCGTGCCGGCCTTTACAGGTGCGCTACTCGCTAACACCACTTTGCCCCAACAGCCCAAGGCAGCGTTCTTCACTGCAAGGCTCGCGGGCCACTGGCGGAACCCTGGTGGCCTTTTAGTGGGGCCCCTGACAACACAACAATGTGAAAACGTGAAAACGTCGAAGGTGGCCCCCCTCTGAAAATTAGTGAGAAACACTGCTCTAAGGCAATGCGGGGGGGGGGGGGGGGGGTGTTTGGGTTGCGTGTGTGTTTGTACGCAGCCGAAGTGTAGTGGTTAGCGCGCTACGCTACGAACCCGGCGACCCGAGTTCGATTCCCGCTCACGGCCGACACCGGTGACGATTATCTGAACCGGTCCTGGGCCTCGCCGAGGTCGACTCGGCCTGGTGCAGTGTGTACGAACATCGCCACTGGGGAGACAAAGGCGGTCGGGCGTGGTGCTGACCACCCACCCCCTCGAGTGCCTTCCCGGCCTTCATAGGTGCTCGCTAACAACACTTGCCCCAACAGTCTGCTGAAGGCTATACGGGGGATCTTTGTCTTTTTTGTGCGCAGCGTGCCCGCGCATCGTGTCGCGCTCAGGGTGGGGGGCCCGCTCCCCCACCAGCACCACCTCCATGGCGGTGCCCGTCTATTACTTCATCATCCACCACACCGCCACCCCAACCTGCTCCGACGAGGCCGCGTGCTCGGCGCGCGTGCGCAGCATCCAGAACTACCACATGGACTCGAACGGGTGGTCCGACATTGGATACAGGTTAGAGGCGAGAGTGCCCCCCCCCCCCCGAGAGGTGTGAGCTATGGGTAAGGGGCCGTCCATAAATGACGTCACGCAATTTTGGACGATTTTTGACCCCCCCCCTCTTCGTCACACGACGTCACAAAAAGTCAGACCCCCCCTCAAATATGACGTCACAAAGCTCTGTCCCCCCCTCCCCCCAAAAATGAAACATGCTTCCAATCGCTTTAAACTATTGTCATTGTAGTGCGTATTTAATTTTGCTCTGCACTCTGATGTTGTAGGAGAAAACATTTAATAAAAGTATATTTAATTAAGTAGAACGTGTTGTCTATATTTAAAGTTGCGCATTTTGATGTGACGTCACATTTCTCAACATTTCACATCGTCACAAATGTCTGACCCCCCCCCCCCCCCCAGGTGTGTGACGTCATTTATGGACGGCCCCTAAAGGTAGATGAGAGAGTTGCGAGGTCTCAGAATCAAAAGATGTATTTATACTGGAGGAATCCGATGGGCTATAAAGCTCTTTCATTCACAGATGTTCAGTTGGGGCGGGTCAGAAAATTAATAACAAACTATACAAAAAATACGATAAGAGGGCAAAGTATCGGAAAGGCAACCAAAGCACTTACAAATATAACATGAAAAACAACTATTTTCAGAAGCGTCGACACGCAATCTGCGTAGCTGACGTGTTAAAATTTACGGTATAACTAAACTATCAAGAAAACTACTCTTTGGTTATTTCGGTAAAGTCACGTAGATTTTTTTAAAAGAATAAAATTATTATATTTGACTATTTTTTTTCTTTCTACGTGACTTTACCGAAAGAACCAAAGAGGAATTCCTGCAGTCACAAAAGCTCCAAATCAAGTATCAAAACTTTTTTTATTTTACCAGGTAACGCCCACTGAGCAACATAGCTCTCTTTCAGCAAATAAAGAGCGCTATAAATGACATGATACAAATGATACTCAACGAAGTGGATTATCACGTGGACATTTATAACACCCAAATACTCTTAAGAGGTATGTTGATTCTAAACGTGGAGGGAAAACCCGGAGGACCCAGAAAAAAATCCACGCTACCACGGGGAAAGAGAGAGACATGCACACTCCAAATATACAGCAGCAGCAGGCGTCAGGGTTGGCGTCGAACTCACGAACAACTTGCATAGCCCCTGTATCCTCACGTTCCCTCGTCCCTGCGTGTCCCTGTTGTCCCCCGTGCCCCCCCCCCCCCACCGTTGTCCCTCCGTGTCCCCCATGCCCCCCCCCTGTTGTCCCCCGTGCCCCCCAGTTTCCTGGTGGGAGGCGATGGTAATGTGTACGAGGGTCGCGGCTGGGACCGCCAGGGCGCACACACGAGCGGCTACAACACCCACCTGGGAGCCAGCTTCATCGGAGACTTCACCTGTGAGTTCACCTGGGCACACGCTCCGATCACCTGCACACCTCGTCACTTGAATGGTCATCAGCTTCTTTTTGCGTCTAGTTTGTCGTCTCCCCCCCGCCCCCGCACCTCCGATGAGTCCGGTTTGGCTAGGTACGGCGTGAAAGAAGTTCAACATATACACACGCGCAAATAGGACGTGTAGGCGGATGGTCAGGTTACGTATTTATTTTGTGCTACTAGCATTTTGCACGGCGACCACGCCGATGACGGTATTGTTGGTCGTGGTGTCGATGACGATTACCCATGCCACGTGCGCTCCACGCTGCACAGCCTCCAAGCCCGTGGCGTCGGCCATCACAGCGGCCAAGGCGCTGATCACCTGCGCCATCAACAAGGGCAAGCTGAAGAGCAGCTACCGCCTCATCGGGCACCGTCAGGTGGGCTCCACCACCTGTCCCGGGGACGCCCTCTACAACGAAATCAAGACGTGGACCAACTGGGGCAACCCCTAAACTCCACCACGCCTGCTCTGCCTGCCGTACACGAGCGACGACTGCGTCTCCCACCGGCATTCTGCACCCACCAGCGACTTGGTTCGCCGTCAGTTTGTAAACTTCCCCACTGCTAAGCAACGGCCTCTCTCTCTCTCTCCCCAACCCGCTTTCCTCCCACGTTCCCGAAGCTAGCTTACCTATTCAGTAATTTTGCGGATACATTTGTAACTGCCGACCGGGTAACACTTGGCAAGCCTGCCGACTGAAGCGAGTGTCAAACCATTTACCGCACAATGCCCGAGCGCTCTTCCACAGCTCCCTCGAGTCGACCCCCCCACCCCTTCTCTCCCAGCAATGGCACGAGCAAGCACTTCCAGGGCTGCGCCTTTACCTTAAACTATCCCCCCCCCCCCCCCCGAAAACACTAAATTGCATCAACGTATTTTTGTTGCTCAGACGATCGCAATAAAAACAAAACTGCAGCAGCGATCATTGTCGTGTCCGTGTACAGCATATGGGTTTGTGTTGTGCGAGTGTGGCCTCAAGGTGCACCTAGCCTGGCACAAGCGGCGTGCTGACGTCACCACCACCGAGTGTTATTAAATATGAATGTCTTTGTAATGCGTGGCTGTGCGAACGCACTCAAGCGATTCGAGCCACAGCCGTTGCTGGCACTTGAACCCGAGGTTGCACGGTTAACGGCAGTGTGCTAACCACTGTGCCACTGCTCACAATCATAAAGTGGCAAAGCAGTGCAAAGTTCACCAACTCGACAGCTTAACGCTTGAAAGCATGGCCAATAAACCCATAAGTACACTCGCACAACCGTAATATTAACCATTACATTTTCAAAGACCACGTTCACATTTTTTTTCAAAAAGTTTTATTTTGCTCTTAACGGATGAAACAATTCCAACATAAAAAAACAGGAACCAAACGTGTGGTGCCAGACCAGTGGTTTCTCCGAAATCACAGACCCCCTGAATTACAATTCGAATGTTGGGGTTACACTTTTAAAAAAAACAAGGCACGGTTGAGTTTCCACCGATGAACTTTACTTATATTCTTGGTTCTTTCGGTAAAGTCACATAAGGGAAACAATACAAATATAAATTCTCACGTTTCGACTGCAACACACGCAATCATCATAAGTTGTGAAAGCCACTTTTTTCAAATTTTCTTGCTGTGGTTTTCACACCTTATGATGATTGCTCGTGTTGCCGTCGAAACGTCGTGAGAATTGTTTCATATTTTTATTATTTTATTGTTTCCCCTATACATGGCTTTACCGAAAGAACCAATAATATGAATCCCTGCAGTCACGAAAGCTTTAAATCAAAATTGAACTTTACTTAGGTATGCCTAGAGGGCAAAACGGCATATTGATTAAATAGGCTCGTGATACATTTTACTAAACTGCACGCACTTGAGAAGCAATTTCTCTATCGAGGTCACGTGCACTGTACTGTTTTATAGAAACTCCTTCGACCGCCACCAGCAGCTGCTACCTTCGCCACAAGGTTTAATAAATCGTGACAAATTGAATCGCAGGGAAGCGGTGAAGTGTCAAAAATCCAGCCGCCACGATTATCAAACGCTCCATCTCGGAATAAACATTACAGCGTTTGCCGCCCTTTAGACCCAGCAATCGATTTCTTGAAATTAACTTAAAAATGTTCACTAAAATGTTTGAAAACTTCCATCCACTGGTCTAGAGAATTAACCTCCATGTCTGGCATCAACACCAAGCTCAAGCTGTACAACTGGAAAATAAAGTTACAGGATTTTAAATCGCCAACACACAACGCTTACTACACCCTCCCACGAGAGGATGGATATTCGTCCCATCACTACGGTGGGTGGCTTTTCTACACAAACAGCCCCCCCCCCCCCGTTACCCCACTGCTCAATTAGGGCCTCACATAGGGATTTGACCAACTTCACCATGCCGGTCAGTGTGGGTTTGGTAAAAAAAAGTGGGAAGCATGGAATTCCAATTCAAAACAAACAACAAACCGTCGACCCTCAAAAGCATACCATAGTACAACCTCAAAAACTGCCACTTGTCAGCATGTTTACCGGGTTGGATCTTCAGTTTACCTACCCTGGATGAGTGACTGGGACGACCCTAGGTGGGGGGGGGGGGGGGGGGGGGGGGGGAGTCAATTCTGGCCAGGCGACTAAACTCCTAACTTTTGATATGCGAAGGTTACAACTTTGAGACAAGCCTTTAAGATTAACAATTGGTCGCTAGTTTTAGGGTGCAGATTTTTGAAGCTTGTGGAGCTTTTAAAAAGTGTGTATTAAATGTTGCATCGACAATTAAAATACGTAACCTTTGCTACTTTGTTTTTTTCAAGGAGACGGTGGTGGCTGCGAGTGTTTGTTCGCACTGCCAGGTTTTTTTTTCTTCCCATATCCCCCCCCCCCCCCCCCCCCCCCCCGTTTTCATTTTTTTTATTAAACATGAAGTATAAAAACACAACCCTAAATATAGAACGGCATGCGACGACGTACGGCTCGGTTAACTCAACTTCACAGATCCAAGTCGACACACGGAGGTCAGGTTAAAGGACACCAATTATAAAAATCAAATCACGCACGGGTGATCGCATGATTACACGGCGGCGCGCCAACAACAATTTCTAAAACGCTACAGGAAAAACATCCTTATTTCTTCAAAGACAAATGACCACAAAAGTTTTTTTTTCCCTCCAGGTCCAAAAGCAATGAACGTGAATGACCTAAATGTACAAAAACAGCTAAGAGGTCAAGATTTACCGCCATTGTATCGGGGATGATTAATTCAACTACTAGGTTGGAGGTAACGGCGATGCGATTTCGGAAGGAGTGTTGCCCAGGAGCGATGCCCTCCTTGATTTATGAGTCGCTCGCCGTTTATGTCAGCTTCTGTTGCAGCTCCTGGCCCTAATATGGCAGGGACACAGAGACACACATGGGGAGACACACAAGTGGGTTTAGGGACACCTCGTAGTTGTGATACACAAGGATCTTGAGACACGGGGCTGGCTTCAAGAGGCTTTCATCCAGCAGCAGATTGGCCAAGTGCTGTTAATCATCCACATTAGTCCACAGATAATTTAGTCATTAACAATTTGAAAAAACCATCCCGAAAAAGGCAAGCAGCCTTGGGAGTAGCCAGAAATAGACTCGTGAAAATGTCAAAGGCACCCCATGACCCTTGTTTATGTGGATTGGCAGGTGGATAACAGGAGTCATTTTAATACAAATCCAAAGCATAGCTGCCAAGCACAGGCCCAAAACCCCAAAACACCAAGCGGCTAGGAACGGCATCGCTGAAGGTACCAATAGAGGACCTTCTATGCATGTGAACATTTAAGATTTACCAATAAGCACACCCCACCTTCTTCCCCTCGCATCACCACTTACACAATGAGTTCCACCATGCACGACGTTGGCACGAGCGCAAATCCCATCGCAACCATGTCTCGCAAAAAAAGGCCGTCGACAACCCAACCCATTTAACTTCCCCCAACCCCCTCGGAGTCGAGTGGAGAGACGCCGGCCCCGCGGATCAAACCACGTCTGCCGTACGCCACGCGGCTAGGGTGCTGCCATGGCTGCCACGCGAGAGTGGGTGGAAAAATTGAGGGATTCGCCAATCTGCGAGCATGGGGATGGGGAGCCACATACGGCCCCACACATCGCCCAAAGCAGCGGCGATCCACCCTCGCTCACCCAGAAACCAGACCCAATCGGCTGCCTCGCCTCACCGTCGCACTGCGCGATCAACCCCCACTTTTTTTTTATTCTATACATTTTTACAACGTAACGAGAGCTCGACACGAAACGCCGAGGAGGGTCCACCGATAGGGCGACTGAAAATCCGCAAATAGCCGTCCCGGTGCAATGGGACCACATGAATGGGGGAGGGGTTAAGAAAAGGATGGGGCCCGACAATCGTCGACTCGTTACGCGGGAGGGCGGAGACTGCGAATGAAATCCGAGGAGGTCGCGACCTTGCTCGCCATCATTCCCGCCTGCTACGGCCTTACCTCAAAGGTGTTGTCCTTCTTCTTGGACGACCTCTTCTTCATAACCACCTGGGGAACACGGACAATGTTAGCAGAGCACAGCCACACTGGAATTGTATACTTATATAAGATTATACAACAGCGGCTAGCACGCTGTGCTATGAACCAGCCAACAACACCGGTGATGATTATACGAATTTGGTCCTGGGCTCCCCCCCCCAAGTGGACTAAACCTTAAATGAGTACCTGGTGCGGTGTAAACATCGCCACTAGGGAGACAAAGGTAGCAGGTGTGATTGCTGGCCACCCACCACCTGTGCCATGTGGGCCTTCATTCGGTGCTCACTAACAGCACTTGACCCAACAGTGTGTGAAGGCTATATATAGGGGAAGACGACATGTCTTTCATGCGCGAATGAGCATTAGAAATGGCACAGTTATATCCAAACCCACATTGCAATTCTATGTTCATACAAAAACTATGATCATTCTGCTTGTTTACCCAGGAAAGCCTCACCCTTGTCAAGATTTTTTCTGGAGGATCCCAGCAAAAATTAGCATTAGAGGGCAATCATGTGGCTAGGTTTGAACCCAAATCAGGGCAGCATTCAGCATCGTTGTGTTCCGCCAATACCAGGGGTGCCACGGTGGCGAGATGTTAACTACCCTTGCCCGTTATACAGGAGGTCGTGGGTTCGATCCAGACGCCTGTATATTTGGAGTTTGCATATTCCCCCTCCCTGTGGGCGCATGTAATTTTCTCCGGGTCGTTTGGTTTTTTCCCTCCATTTAGAATTAACATGTGTCTTAGAGTATTTGGCCGCTATAAATTTTCACGTGATAAGCCACCGCGTCGAGCTATCATTTGTGGCCAGGTCGCTTCTGAAAAAGAGCTATACAGCTCAGTGAGCATAAGAAGTAAACTATATAAGAATAGTTTACTTCATAGGTTTAGCGTGTTAGCTGCACGAGGCATGTCGCGCGCGTTTGCGCAAAAAAAAATCCCGAATCCGACACTCACGATGACGATGATGGCTGCGACGAGGGAGAGGACGAGGACGCAGATGATGGCGATGATGCCGGGGGCCATGTGCTTCATGTTCATGCGGGGCGGCTCGTCGTCGTAGTACCACACCTGCGCGCCGCGCTTGCTCAGGTCGAGCACTTCGCGTGGCAGGCCCGGCAGCTCCCCCTTCAAAAACTGGCGCGGGGGGAAAAAAAAAAAGCGGGAAGGATTTAATGTTTTTTGGTAAGGGAGTAAATCAATTATTATAAATGAGAGAGAAAACTCAAAGGGAGGGCGTGGGGAGAACTGCAGACGAGCGGGGAAGGCAGCCACGCAGCAGCGAGGAGCCGGCGCTACCAACAATTGCCCAAGTTCTGCGGTTCTCTACATATTACAGTGTCCATACTCATTACATAAAGTGCTCGCCCACAAAATGAATAACAATACCTTGCTAATCTTATCAAGGATCACGAACAAAATCACGCAAACATCGGTCAGACTCCCAGCGGCTTTTGGCTGACCAGCAAACAAAGACGGTCACCACATCGGGTGGTTTCAGAAGCGCTTCTGCGGCCGTCTAGAATGCTCTTTCTTCTGACAATTACGAAACCACTGGAGCTATGCACTTTTAAATCTATATTGACAAATAATTTATTTAGAACCGCTTTTTCTGTTTAGTTTGTCGTCCTTCACCCGTACCTCCGATTAGCACGGTTGGCAACATACGGTGCTCAAGAAGTTCAACATCCAAGTTATGGGTCAATGATTGAGCGTTTATGTAGAGCGCCTTATGTGGGTGGGGCATCTCGGAACGCTGTACCCTTGTATTGAGCGGGCTCACGCATTATCATCTCAAACATGAGCGAACCCCAGTTGGCCACTCACCTGCTTCTCCAAGTAGTAGGCGACAGTCCCCACATCCTGATCGGCAGACGTGTTGCCGGCTACAATGGTGATGAGAACATTTCCGGCATCGTCCATCTACGTGGTGGGGGGGGGTTGGCGACATTGATCGTTAGCGGTTTGTCCTCTCGTAAAGATTTGCATTATATTTTTTTTCACAATTGCCAAGCATGATTGGGAGGTGTAAATCGATGAGGAGGATTTCTTGGATTGAGTACAGGCATGCAAGCTTGGGGGGGGGGGGGGGGGGGGTGTAAATAGAGTTGCCAGGGAGGGAATTCCGAAGCGGTGCAGTGCGAGGGCAGTGGCAGAAGGAGAAAGTGTTCGGAGAGCGTGAGCCCACCGGGGTCACCCAGACTGCATCACTTGGAATTCTATACGGGGAAGGAGACCCGGGAGCTCCACCCCAGAGGACGCAGCAGTTGGAGGATTCCAGCTCGAGCCCAATTTAACCCTTGAATAATCGCGGTAAGTTGAAAAAACCCAGATCTTTGTCAATCTACTGCTGGGACGAAGGCCTTCCCATGCCTATGATGTACACGTTTGTCCATCCTATTGATGATTTTTCAGGAAACTTGAGTTTTAATAAAAATAGAGCACGAATAACAAAGTACCTTGGTTTCGCTCATTTGAGAGGGGCTCAGGAGGAAGGAGTCCTGCATCACCTTTTGAAGTCTCCTAGAAAGGAGAATTTGTAAAATTAAACCTCAGCCGTAGGTAAAAAAAACAGAATTACAAACGGATTAAGTTCGATCCAATGACCTTTCATCTCCCCCCTCCCTCTTTTTCAGTAACTTCAAGAAGCTCGCAGCAAGTCGAGTGAAACGTCAGATAATTGTGCACCAAACATCCCGAAAAACACGCGGGAGTGAGTTTGGTGAATTGTCGTGGTTTGAGACAGATTCCGGAATAGATTCTTAGTCTCGTTTTGCAAGGTCCGCAAACTGTTTGTGCCATCGCATTCGTGTCATCTGTCCAGTCCGCAGCCTCCAGGTCACATCGCTTTGTCGATTCCAAATTTAAAAAATCTACAGCCCATTTAGGTAACACATGCAGTTTAAAAACAAATTAAAATCATCCCGTTTGATACGCACAATTCGACACGTGTGCCACAAACATCTTTTTAAAAAAATGGACAAATCCTTACGAACCTAGCGGAAGTGGTCAGACTGTCTTTTCATAATTTCCCCCAGCAACTAAAATCCACCAGAACCAGTGGGGTCCTGCAGCAAGTCGACAATTCGCATAGCAACGTATACACTGCTTAACGTTGATGGAACCAGTTACAATCCACCTTTTGATAATTTTTCCCCCCAACAGCAACAACTGCAATTACAGCAGCCACTAAAACCCACAACAAGAAAGTTAACCGCAGGGGTCTCCCCCACCCCGCCTGCTGCCCCCCCCCCCCACCCCGTCTTACTTACGTCTTGAACTGCGATTCACGCACAGCAGGGTGCGTAGTGTTCACAAAGAAGTCCAACACGATTTGGCTGCAAGGGCAAACACAAATCGTGATTAAATGTCGCATCTCGTCACGACGACGTCTGCAATGAGACGAGCACGCCCCTCCTCGTTTGGCCGCGGCTTGTTAAGGTCGCACGGCACATGAACCAGCGACAAAGCCCTGCGCTTCACCACCGCCTAAATTAAGGTGTTTTTATTTTATAAAAAAAAAAAATCGCACGACAAAAAATTATGGATACATTGTTCTTGTCTTCTTTTCGGATAGCTGCGCTGCGCGCAATGTGACGATTCGTCGCACACCGGACTTTACGATGCAGAAGTGGTCACCGGTTCGATGAGACCTTTCGGCGGTGGCGGCCGTAACGACGGTGCGAGTGAACTCTGTAACCCTTCCCCTGATTGCAAGCTGCTCACTCTACCCCCCCCCACCCCCTGAACTGCTTGCCACTTGACAATCACGGGATGAGGAATATCTCACGATAAAAATTGGAATGGGCAAGGACATCATGTAGAAAGCATTGCAAGGAGCTGTTTATCATCATTATCACCATCAATTAGTCAACTGACGAATAACTAAATCAAACCTGGCAGGAAGCAACTTTGCCGCATTGCCAGAACTAAGGTAAAAAACGTAAGCTCTTTTTTATTTTACCAGTTGAAGCCCAGAGCTATATAGCTCTTTCAGAAGTGACCTGGCTATCACATTTGTAACAGCAAAGAAACCTCTAAAACGCAACGTTTCTAAAAATGTGGAGAGAAAAACCAGAGATCCCGGAGAAAAATCCACACCACTACGGGGAGAGACACGCAAACTCCAAACAAACAGCAGGCGCCAACGGATCAGGATCGAACCCACGACCTCCTGCATACCGCGCAAGAGGGAGTCGACATCGCCACCGTGGCACCCCCCCCCCCCCTCCTTACTCACGTGCACATGACGAGACGCTTGCATTCCGGGTCCGCATCCACCAGCTTGTCGGTGTTGCGGACCCCGGCACTGTTGACGCACCAGCGCTGGCGCGTCGTCTCGTTGGACTGCTCCGCCTTGAAGGTGCCGTTGTCGAAGCACTTGGGGTCGTAGAGGCCGTCCGTGTCGAGGCGGCCGCCGGACGCAGGGCCCGAGCGGCTCTGGCGTTTCAGCGCGTCGCTCTCCTGGTGCATGAGGAAGCAGCGCGGCGTCACTGCACCGCCGCCGAACGTCGACGGTTCGGGAGAGAGGGGTGGAGGGGAAGGGAAAAGAGGGACGGCGGATTCGGGACGAGAGGGGATGGAAAGCAAATGTCAACACAGGTAAGCAATACGGAGGTTCCCACAAGGCCATGCGGGAGGGCGTGTGGCATGGTTTGGTGCCAGCTATAAAAAAAAAAAGTGCGATCATGTCGCTATAGCTCTCTGCGGCAAGCACAAAGTCTTTAAAAACAGCGCCATGCCTAGAAATAAAATAAACGCCGACCGATTGCACGCTCCGAGATTCAGCGGTGATTGGGACTCCACCCTGCAACTTTCAGACGTCGCCGAACGGGAAAGGGTTCATAATAATGTATGTTGAAGGTCATTCGCACTGTACGTAGCCAACAGTACTAAAATCGGTAGTTCGAGGGAAGGACAACGAAACACAAAAAAGGTTCTAAAAAAATGAATGAGTTGTCAATATAGCTCCCAGTGGCTTGATAATAAGCAAACGATGCAAATACATAATTCATATTTGTCTATAGCACTGTCTAAGGAAAAACATGTATGCTGGGGGGATGTTTGAGACAAATTTACCTGCACATCAGGCGATTGCTTGAAGCGTGGTGCCCCAAACACCACAGCGAATTGGTCAATCAGTATCAAGGGCCTGGCTCCTACCATATGAATGTGGAATTTCCACCGCCGGCCAATGAAGAGCAACCACGCCATTGCTCTATTGAGCAAGCAGGGCAGGATACCACTCAATTACCCCGTTACATTCACGGATGAGTTGCGCATAAAGGATTTAAAACTTGGACTCTGGACTGTGGCAAGGGAGCAGTGATTCACTCTTGCAAATGAGATCACACGGGTATCCAAAATTTCCACTTTGCTTACAGTGTGCAGTCCGTTTAGTCACCCTTGCTTAAACCACGTGAGAACCCACGCAGACTGGGATCAACAATTGACATTAACGGTGTTAACCAAGGACGATTTCTGGCTAGATTTAATAAAAGCAATTAAATGGGCCAAAACAGCCTAATTTCATTAAAAACTAACATTCATTATTTGAACCTCCGTCCCACCGCCGCGCACATAAACGCAGCGACCCACCAGAAATCAATCCTCTCCTCGTTCTTCACCAAGCACCCGTCGTTGCCAAAATTGCCGTGGTCATAAACAACACTTTGAAACTTTGATTAGCGCATCGTGTAGAGCTCGTCGAGGGGAACGACGAGCTCTACACGATGCGCTAACCCCGGGGTCCCGCCTTAAGGTTCATTTGGCAAAAAAAAATAAACAGATATTGGCAAATCGGTTGCGTTTCCACAAAAGCACGACTGTCACCTGCCATGCGCTGGGAAATTCCCCAATGACTGTGAAGGTTTACTTTGTGGTGGGGGGGGGGGTCCATGAAGTCTGCGCTCAAAATGCGTTTGCTGGCGGGTCACGTTGGCGAGTACCGTGACCCGCCCGATGACGCCGGTTACGCAAACACCAAGGGCACGGCGGGCACGGCGGGCTCGGTCTCGTTAATGTGTAAACCAGAGGGCGGGTAAACGACGAGGTTGTGTAACGAGACGACAGGCTTGCACAAGGACGGGTAACACAGCCACGAGAAACCACGCAAACAAAAAAACACCAACGAACTCACGACGCCACGCACCACTGTATATGCTAAACTTATTTCGCACCGTACGCAACGCTACATGTATACAGGGGCGGAGCCAGGATTTTGACTTTGGGGGGGCTGACTTCAATATTCTGAGATATCTCAGTGTGTTTATGTTTTCCAATGGGCGCCACAAATGTATAAAACTAATTTTATTGGATTTGAACGCGGAGTTTATTAATAGGTCGAAGCCGCTGATGTGGCTAATAAGTTCGATAAGTTCGAAAGGCTGCCGCTCAAGCAGCCTGCAGGGCAGCACAAGGTGGCAGCCTGCAGCAGCCTGATATCCGGTTATCCCGATTACCGACTTTCCCAAAATTTCAGGGGGGGCTAAGACCCTCCCCAGCGGCGCCGCCCCTGTATGTATACACCCCACAACATTCAGGCAATGCTGAACGCCTGAATCACTCGCACAACACCGCAAACCCGAATTCCCACAGAATCAGAATCTTTATTTAGAGACTCTAGCAATATTTTGATCTATGATGCTTTTTCAGATGCCCATTAGTACATAACACTGCACATCCATTTACCAATATGACTGTACACCACACGTACACACACACATTGTATTACATCTGCACACCCACACAACACCGCACACCTAACCGCCACTCCACATGTAGACCAACAAACACCCATATCACACCGCCAGAGAGGAGGAGAGGGACGTGACGGGCAATGTGTGCAGAGAATAAGCAGTAAGGCTTCACGAGCAACGAGTGGAGGGAGGATGGGGGGGGGGGACTCACGTTTCTCGCAGTTGATGACCTTGTTCTCGGGATCCTTCCACAGGGCCTTGCAGCCGCTGGTGCAGTCCACGATACACTTGGTCGCATAGGGGTTGAAGCGGCATGCACTCACGCACGGGTCGACCCCATTGCAAGCGGGACACATGTCTGCAGAGGGGTTGATGGGAACGATGGTCACGGACATGTTATCAGGTGTACTCTCCTCGAATGGCAGGGGATGTGGACTGATAAAGTTGACCATCCAATGTTGTAAATATATAAAAACAAAAATTGCCTCCACCTCATCGCCGAGTGCTGTTGTACGCACGTTAAACTTCTTTCCCACTGTGTGAAGCCAACGAGTGCTACAATCAGGAGGCTGCGCAGGAAGGACAAACTGAACGCAAAAAACCAGCTGCTCGGGGTGGGAGATGGTGACTTTACGCGCGGAAGGAGCGGTCGCTAACCACGGAGTCGCCCTTTTAAGAGATCTCGGCCCACACAGCAGGGAATAACATTTCCCAACCCGCTCTGCATACGAGAGCCCTCTGTTGATCGCACGACAGTAAAAGCAATCATTTTAAATTCCTCAGGGAGGCAGAATTTAGCCACCATTTATTAGTGCAGCCATTGGTGACAGGGCAGAGGATCCAAACTCGCCCAGACTTGAGAACCCCATTTTAAAGTCACAGGAGCTTGCCCAGATTTGATTGAACCTAGGATCTCAGCGGTGCGAGCCAGCGAACCCGACTTCAGGAAGCGCGGCTCGATGATTAACATCTGAAAATGGATGCTGGAGCCAAATGATCGAATCCGCCAGTGGCGTTACTGCGTAGTTGTGGGTCTGTGGTGAGACATCCGGCACGCTGCGGGAAGTTCTTGTCAAGGAGGTACAACACGGGCAAGGATGCCGCCACCGGAGCTATGCGCACCTTTAAATCTAGGATTGATAACTCATTTCTTTAGATGTGTTGTGTTTATAGTTTGTCGTCTTTCCCCCGCGCCTCGAATTAACACGGTTGGCTACGTACGGGTGCAAAAGAAGGTCAACATACATACGGGCAAGGTCCCTGAACGACCTGGAGTGATTGGAGGTGTTATTCCACCCACTAGGGTGCCCCGAAACCTTCCGGCAATTCCATAAATTGTCACTTTTCAGGCATCCTCTCTCTACGACAGTCACCACACCCTGACAGATGCATCTTTAACAATGGCCATGCTAAACACTGGCTTAAGGCAGAGGCAAGCCTCGCCCCAAATTCGTACCGTAACACAACCCCCCCCAGCATCAGGTTACCCAAAGAAAAGCCTCACCCCAACCAACAGAAACAACCTGAATCCATAGGTTACATTGGGCAATCCTTGTATAGATACCCGACTGAAATAAAATCGGGTGAATTTATGGTTAACATTTTATTCCAAAGCCTTTGATCACCCTCCAATCTCAAAAACAAGTAATACCAGCTCCAAACATTATCCCGATACATAGTATCTAACGGCAAGACGCTGTTATTTGCTTATAACATTTAATGAGATGCATAACCCGAGGTCATGATTACAAATCGGTAGGGTATCTATAAATGGTTCGCCCTGGATTATGAAGCCAACAAGGGGCGTGGCCTTGGTGGTGGAAGTTATAGCAGAGCAAGCACCAACTTCACTACTCCCATCGGCCGTGCTGTAGAATCAGCCTCCCCATAGTGGCCATATACCACGGTCCATGAAGGTCACAAAAGCCACCCCGCCGGTCCATCTCCGCAGGGCATTTCTCTCCGGCTGCAATCCCCATCACCCGTCTTGCCTACCCATCGTGCCATCATTTCCTTTCTCGCCAATTGTTCTATCGAGCCCACGCGACTTTCCTCAAGTCAACGTCGATGAGTTTTGTTCTACAATCCACGAGTTCCCCGTTTCCATCACGGAGGAATTACCAAGAAGAACCTTCGCTTCTTTGTGGTCACGTTGATTCCATGATCGCGCAAGCAGGTGATATGCGCGGACCAAAACCGTTCAACAACGTTGCTTTTCATTATCCAAATTAAGTTTCCCAGTAGCACTCCAACCCCGATCATATTCGAGTTCATCTCGATCGCAGTCTCGGTCCCATCAATCAAGTTCCAACAGCTGCTACAGTCGACACAGCTGCCTTGAGTCCTAGCTAAACTTTTATTTCATTTTACCAGGTAATAATAAAGACCACACTGAGCTATGTAGTTTTTTCAAAAGCCAACTTGGTTAATCACAAATTATAAGCCCAATGAAGTGGCCTATCAATTGGAAATGTATAGCAACAGCCACTCTAAAACGTGTGATGTTGATTATAGATGTGGAGGGGAGAAAAACCGGACGACCCGGGAGAAAATTCCACGCAACCACGGGGAGAGAGACACCGCAAACTCCAAATATACAGCAGGCGGTCAGGGTCGGGATCGAATCCACGAAACCTCCTGTATACCAGGCGAGGTTGTTAACATCTCCTAGCCACCGAGAGGCTCTCACGACCATCCGCTCTTAGTCGCCCTTCTGGACTTCGTGGAGAACCACTAACTAATAATGCCGTCTGGGTAAACGGCCCTAAACCACGCAACGTCCCATCGAGCCCCAAAGGAGTTTTTGTTGTCGATGTCTAATGATATATCGACAAACCTCACGGTGCCACGTTCTCTTACGAACTCGTGCATGGCTCATGTTCGTCTCGCCACGGAAACTGCTAACACATTCGTCAAACACCAAGAGATATGTTCGAGCCGACGAGAGAGATTTTCGTTAGATGGGTGGGGGCTCCATTTTCTATACTGGACAACTCTTAAAGCCCATCCCCCTTGTGTTAAGTAACGTTTCACACATTTGGGCCATTTAGCTCTCTCGATAAAACATTACGCTGGGTGGTTTGAATTATTTCCCTAAATGTATGCGGTTTCCTTTTTTTATATATTAAACGCCACTTCCTCGTCAGGCGCTCGCACGCACCTCAACATGCACGCGCGTAGTAGTAATAATACATCTTCCGTGGTTCGTGTTTCTCGTTAACAAACAAAAAACTCCACGACCCCTCAATATAACCAAACGCCAAGTGTTTGGGGGCAGAATGAGTGTTTAAAAAGGCGGCGGGGCGGGGCAAAAAAAGATTTTAAAATTTTTTGTAATACTATACACGTTGGTCAATGCACGCACATTTTGCTCTGGCATTTCCCACTTATCAGAAAGGTTTATTTCTGTTTCACTTCGGTTGGCCACGTTTCGCCCACGGCAACACCTCCCATCCACCGCCGCCCGCCTGTTGTCTTCTAGGCAGCCGTCCCAAGTCTAAAGTTGTCGTCGGTTCCTTTGCAAATGGTAGTCGTGACCACTCCTCACGTCCCCATTTCCACGTTACAAGTTTCAAGTTTCATTTATTTGGTACAGCCCCTCCCCGCCAGTCGGTGCGAAGGACAAATTATTTTGTCGTCGTTACAAAACATGTATCAGGATTTTAATACGCTTCGGGTCAATTCTGAGTGAAAACTAAGCACACTTACGGACGTCATCTTTAACGAGTTAGAACCAAGAATAGACTTTTCGGTAAAGTCACGTAGAAGGGAAACAATAAAAAATATACATTTGTATTGTTTCCCTTCTACGTAACTTTACCGAAAGAACCAAGAATATGAATCCCTGCAGTAACGAAAGCTTTAAATAGAGTTAAATCTACCCAGATATGCTCGGCAACTCCGATTAAAATTAGACATTAACCACTCGACCGTCGTGTTAAGTTGATATATTGTTTGTAAAAACAAAGGTTATTTTAAAAACAAACGTTCGTGAAACAAATGCCGGTCAATACTGGAGTTGGTTACACCTTTTAAAACGTCGTCCCCTCAACGCATGTAACATCATGAACATCAACGCAGTTGTTAATTGTCGATGTTTTATATTAAAGAAGACCGTATACACCCTCACAGGTGAGCCGATCTTCTAACACTCGCCTCGCAAAAGGAGAATGTTCCAACCCTCATTTAGCACAGGCGAGTTCTCCAATCCTCACCACACCCCGCAGAGGTGAGCGGTTCCAATCCTCACCACACTCCGCACAGGTGAGCGGTTCCAATCCTCACCACACCCCGCACAGGTGAGCGTTCCAACCCTCACCACACTCCGCACAGGTGAGCCAACCCTCACCACACCCCGCACAGGTGAGCCAACCCTCACCACACCCCGCACAGGTGAGCCAACCCTCACCACACCCCGCACAGGTGAGCCAACCCTCACCACACTCCGCACAGGTGAGCCAACCCTCACCACACTCCGCACAGGTCAGCGTCAAAATCCCTCGCCGCCGCCGCCGCCAGCCTCACCTTGAGCGGAAGCTCGGGCGACCATGCCGAGAACGAGAGCCAGCGCCGCCACCATCACGAGCACGCAACGCGCGCCGAGAGACGAGGAAGCCATCGTCGTCGTGAACACCACCAACAACAACAACCCTTTCTTCTCGCTCTTGTTCTAGTCGTTGATGTTATTCACCAAAAGGACGCCGGACCAGGTGAGACAAGACGGCAAGGTAAAAGGGGGAACACGCGAAGATAGATGACGACGACGATGAAATGGCGGCTCTCGTCTGCGCTCTCCCTTCCTCTTTTTCCTCCTCCTCGCCGCGCAGGTGAAGTCGAAGCGACCTGACCGGGGGATTCACGTCACGGTAGAGGGGGAGGAGGCTTTTTAAATAGTTTCAACTTCAATATATATTTATTTACGCGTTCCACAATGGCTCTTGCTCCTCCTCCTCTTCGCGTCCGGTCACGCCTCCCGCACTCACCACTCACACGGGGGCGGGGTGAGCTCAGCAACAGCATGGCTCCGTTGCAACTTTGCCAATAACAACAAGATATGATCCCCATCATCATTCGCATCATCATCGCCAGGCATGGTCAAATCCACTGCTGGATGAAGGAATCACCCCCCCTCCCCAAAAAAAAAAGTTGCGGCGATCTCGAAATGATCCTGCGATGTCATACGACCAGATGACGTCATCGCATCGGTGAGTGTGTCGCGTCATCGTCGTCATCGTCATAGCCAGGCGCATGGTCGACTCCACTGCTGGATGAAGGACTTGCCCGTGACCACCGACCACCAAGCTCTCAAACGCCCGCCACATTTCACGCCTCCGCAATGGCAAATTAAAAAAAAAATTCCTCTCGCAGACCTCGGCACACGCGGTGACTTCATCGCTCCGTCTCCCTCTGCTCATCCTTTGGCTGCCCACTCCGCTGTTGGTCTTCGCCGCGTTGTCTGTCGCCCCATTCGCACCTGGCGACTTGTCCTGCACAAGCCCACTTGCTGTGCTCAGCTGTAAAATCCGAGGCATCTCAATCTGCGTATGGTATCTGATACACGCGGTCAACCTTTCAGTTCACCGGTGTAATTCCAAGCGTGCATGTCCGCATGGCTTTGTGGCGTATTTGTCCACTTTTGGTTCCATTTACCTCGTCACTGCGACGCGGTTGACACAGGCGCCACGAGTTCGCTTCTTTTGCCACGGCTAACATCAGTGGCGAGTGATATCTGAACCAGTCCTGGCTAGCGTCAGATCCATCACCATCCCGCACTAACTGTCGTGGTGAAGTATGGTTAAACAACCACCGGGACCCCTAGGGCGTACGGAGGCCTTCATACAGCAGTGGATTGTGACAAAGGGCTGTGAAAAAATATAGTTTAGTTGTTTTGTTATATATTTAAAAAGGTGTCTGGTGATAATTGATCAACCGCTATTCTTACACAGTACATGGTGACGGTGGTATGAAGACTGGTATGTTGTGTAGTGTATTGCGAATATTTCAGATGGTTCAGCTGTTTATCGTCACAGACATGTTACCAAACAGATTTAACAACACACACACACACAGGTAGAGGGAGGTGTACAGCATGGCAAGTATTGTTCAACATTTCTCAGCCTTACCAAGGCCACCAGATCGGTAGAACTAAACGTGTGACCATTACGTCGCTTAGATCAGCAACTCAAAAAAGAGTTGAGAATATGTAACCCATTTACCAAGATCAAGCCCAAGATCAGCGTCGCGTGTAGATGGTCGAGACGAATAACGGAGTGGCAGCCAAAGGAGCGAAGTGATGAAGTAAATTCGCGTGCTGGATGGATTGTTACATCGGGAGGGATGGGAAGGCGACAGCTTGGAGGAGGCCTTCATCCAGCAGTGTATATATCATGACTGGCCATGATGTGTTTGTTTGAGTGGAGATATGACTCATGTTACTATATCCTCTTCCCTGCAGACGAAGAGTCACCAGCACCGCGTGAGTCAACAGTCACTGCAGCAATGCGACACCGCTACGCGGCACTGATGAAGTCTGGTAGCAGGTGAAGCGTTGTGTCGAGGCTTGTGCAGGGAGGACTTTATCCAGCAGTTGATAGAGACTGGACGATCGTGATATCTAGCCGTGGAAGCGCAGTGGTTGGTGATGCCGTCATCCAGCTGTGGATAGACGATGGACAATGCTTTCATCGTCGATAAATACAAGAAAGTACCGGGCGGCGTCAGATCTAGCAAGCTCAGCCTTGATGATTCTGGACAGCGCTTGGATTGGTGGCCGCCATCCACAGCGTTGCGGGCAGCTGCGGTGCACGAACAAAACAAACTCAACGCATTCGTCAGCAAACGCTGCGCGGCCCTAAAATGAAACGATAGGCGACGTTTCGGACGATGACCCTCCTCCATAGCGAACTGATGACACAAGGTGCTGATTGTATGCACGATTGAAGCATAGTCGTCGTTCATGTTCTACCAAGAAGGTAAATTGGCCGCAGTGTCGCCAATGGGCATGTTATTGTTTATAGCCACGCGTTGTTGTTGATGAGTAAGTGGACGCATATGTCGAGTCGTCCGTACCGTGTGCCGCGTTGGCTGCACACACGCCAGCACCACGCGTGACTCGCCCGGCACGGCGCGCCTAATTTGGGCAGAGCGTTTCCGGGGCAAGTGGCGTGATGCGTCAAGGTGAATGGAATGTTCGATGATGTCATTGGCAAAGGTAAGTTTGGTCGATGGGTGAGGTCATAATCATCAGCATCATCAGCAGCCATGGTCTGTCCACTGCTGAATGACGGGAATGGCCAAGCCGTCGCCATCTCTCACGTTTCTGCGATGTTATTATCCTCAGCGCCTGTTACACTCACGAGCTAAATGTCATCGCTCCATCTCCCCTCTCTCCCTTGATGTCCTCTAGCACGCGGTCCAGTGCCGGATTATCCTAGTAGCAAAAGTCGCATAATGCTACGGGCCCCGCACTTTCAAGTGTCCCGGCGCTAAATGCTTTCAAGCTATCATTTCCAAACACACACACAAGATCCAGGTCCGGTTCAATACAGTACACAAAATTCGCGATCTGATCCCATCCGTGAAGGATGTCATTCCTGACTTACAGTACCCCGGGGTTTACAAATTGAGTTGTACCTGCGGTGATTGCTATATCGGGGAGACAAAGCGACATGTCTCTGACCGAATTCGCGAGCACAAATCCGATTTGAAACACGGCAGAACGAATTCTGCCGTAGCTGATCACGATATAATTTTCTCCGATACCAAGGTTCTTTGCAAACCCACGGGTTTTTATCAGAGATTTGTTCACGAGGCAATTCAGATCTGCAAACACAGACACAATTTCAACCGAGAAGATGGTTTCAAATTAAGCAACCATTGGAAAGATGTTCTAAATCGAACCAAACATTAAACGAATTTTCAATGGTACAGTATATTTTTCAAGTAGTGGTACCCCAAACTTTCGCAGCTCTTAAAAAATTCCCTTTTCACACCATCAATAGATAAACTCCCCCCCCCCCCCGCGCCAACCGGCATGTTCACCCGCATGTACACCACCTCTACACCGTTCATCATGCTAAGTCAGCCAATCAAATGCTAATTTTTATGCTAATTCCTTTGTCAAGGCACCTTGTTTCCTCGCACACAGCTTAAAGGTCGCAGTCTGAGCGTGGCTGTGTTTCACTCCAGCGCTGTCCTCGAGACAGCCTGGTCCCTTCACCTGATGAAGGCCGCTTGTGTTGTGGCGGAAACGTGATTTTTGTTGTTTTATTTTTTACCTACGTGACTTTACCGAATAGAACCAAAGAGTACTATCAATTCCGGTTCAGTGATTCTGCACTTGCCCTATGACTATAGTACTATACCACCTTCGACTTTTACGAACGACTGGGTGTTTAAGGTTAGCGATTCGTCGTAATATCTGGCTGTATAGCAAATGAAATAATGCAATTACTTTACTATGCAAGTAAAAAAAAATTGTGTTTTAATATTTGTGTGTGTGTTTTTTTTTATTTGGGACTCCTTGACCAACCCTGTAACCATGACGTGTCATGCCCAAGCACACATTCATTAATTAGTTATCTGTTTGAATGATGTAATTCACCACCTCCATATGCTCTCTGTTCCCGGGTGTCCCTGATCGCGAGGTTACGTGATGCAGGTGAGAGGGGCGATGCAGGTGATGCGTGTAACGCAGGTGAGGTGTGTGATTGTGTGATGTAGGTGAACGATGTGGGATAGGTGAGGAGTGTAATGCAGGTGAAGGAGGTGAGGCGTGTGTGATGCAGGTTAGACAGGTTAGACGTGGGGAGGGCGGATCGAGGTGGCGTGAATCACCGTGCTCGGCAAAACCCGACGCTCCTGCTGCCACGTGGTTCCACAGATCACAACAACACACCCTGCCGATGCAGTCACAAATGCTACTTGATAACCGTAGAGACTCATTCACCCATGCATATTAACAGTGGCGGATACAAAGGAGGGGGCAGTGGGGGGTGGGGGCGGGGCTTAGGGGTTATCACCCCCGCCCTCCCACGTGTCTCACACAAAGCAAAATATATTTATTTAACAACGCAGGGCCCCCCATTTAAAAAGGTTGATAGTTCAAGACCGATCCCCACTATCACGACAGCTGCTGGTCCAGAGGTCTTGTGACCCACAATTAATTGACCCCTACCTATCCTTTTTTCCCATTTGCATTTTTATTAATGTTTTAAATTAACTTTTTTTTAAAAGATATGTTTTAGAGAATTCAGTGAGGGTCACAAGACTTGATAGCAGGGCAACACTGGCATACATTACGTGCATTGATTCCCATGCATTAACATACACATACAAATGTGCAGCTACACAGAGGGATGTATTGTCAATGAGGGGCCGTCCATAAATGACGTCACACACCTGGGGGGGGGGTTGAGAAATGTGACGTCACATCAAAATGCGCAACTTTAAATAAATTTAGACAACACGTTCTACTTAATTAAATAGACTTTTTAATAAATGTTTTCTCCTACAACATCAGAGTGCAGTGCCACATTAAATACGGACTACAATGACAATAGTTTAAAGCGATTTGGAGCATGTTTTATTTTCAAAATGCAAATGTTTTTTGGGAGGGGGGGGGGGGCAGAGCTTTGTGACGTCATATTTGAGGGGGGTTCTGACTTTTTGTGACGCCGTGTAACGAGGGGGGGGGGGGGTCAAAAATCGTCCAAAATCGCACGACGTCATTTATGGACGGCCCCTCAAGACATCTTGTGCATTCCGATTGGTTCATGATACGTTCACACCTCCCCTTCTCCCCCGTAATGATGTTTGCACACCGGTTATTGATACCCCATATAAGGCTGTGAGTCATAAGTACGCATTAGCGTGCTTGTGTTATGATCCGAAGACGGTTGCCACCTAATCCACAGACCAAACCTAGACATTCAGCCGACTTCTATCAACAACACAGCAAAACCGATACCACGAGGTTTTGGAAAAAAATCAATTCCTGTTGGCACCCCAA